TCTAAGCTAAGGTGGATCCACTAGCTACTGTCTATTCGAGACAACATCCTATGGTGACACATAGTTATAGTCAAGGAGATTGTTATTAGAGGTCGGGCCTCTACGAACTCAATATCTTCTCGGTGCTAAGTTAAATTCCATGGAATAGTCATTAATCTTATTCACATTATCATCCATGGAAAAGTACTATTAAGTTACTAATCCAAGCTAGAAACATCATAGAGTAGCTCCTTAGACCATGCATGAGAAAACCTTTCACCATCCAAGATCTTTTCATAATAGCTTTATAAGACACAATCATTAACTTCATACTAAAAGTGCCATACTACTAATGATATAGTTTTAGAAACTTGGTCCATGATCATTGATGACATATCCAGATACCATACTAATCAAGACCTAACATAGGAAAATAATGGCCCAAACACATATGCAGTCCCTTAAACTTGTCTCTAATTTTCATTTTGGCACTCCAACTCAACCTTGTTCCATTTTAACCTTTCAACTCCAACTTTTTTTTTATGACAAGGGAAACCCGCAGTCGCTACCCTTTGGGTGCGCACAGGATAAAACCCCTGCTCCTATGCAATAGCTCGCAAACCACATAGGAGAGGTAACCCGCACTAGGCAAGCCCGGTGCGACGAGCTCGACCCAGAAGGCAAACCCCTTACTTTCGCTAGCAAGGGGTTTCGAACTTGAGATCTCCAACATGGAAGTCCCAAGCCCAAACCACTGGGCCACTCCAATTTTTATGTTCCATTTAGGCACTTCTTTCCAAAGAATCATCAAAGTGGATGTGTGTACTTCACATGCCATGACATGGCACAAAAGCCAATTATAAACACACACACAACTAATATAACTTGCTCCCATTTTTTATTTTAACACTGTATTTTAGCCTTGTTCCATTTTAACCCTTCAACTCTGTTTTATATACCATTTAAACACAAAAATACTAATTTTATGATTTCTTTATTTTTATTTATGTTCTTCATTTCCACTTTTTCATTTTAAAAATCAATGTCATATCTTTTAAAAAAATTAACGGATGAACATCATTTTAAAATTATTTTGTTAGAGTTTCTCTACATTGTTATGTGAAAAAATAACCGACGAAAGTGTGTTGTTTTTCTTTTTTAAAACAATTAATTAAATTAAATGACACCACTTTTTTTTTCATATCTAGTCTATTTGGATTTAACTCAAATACCAGCTTTCTAATTTTTCATCAACTAAATACGAGTAAAAAAAACTCATGTTCACTGCTAATTATTAACACTACAAAAAAACACTAAACTCGACACACTTCGTTGGGTTTTCATTGATTTTTTTAAGAAAGAAAATCGACGCACTTTCGTAGGTTATTTTTCACACAAAATACAAAGAAACTCTCATAAAGAAATTGTTACTTTTAAAAAAATAAAAAAAAAAAAAATCAATGATCATCCGTCAATTTTTAATTTTTTAACAATACCTAACGGATGAACGTTGATTGTTAAAATGCAAAATTGCAGTTGAAGAGCATATATAGAAACAAAGAAATCATAAAATAAGTATTTTGAGTTTAAATGGTACATAAAAAAGGTTGAAGGGTCAATCTTTTATTATTTTTTTAAAGAAAAAAACATTTTATTTGTCTTTCACTCTCTTAGAGAAAGTGTGATGCACACACTCTGCCACATCACTTAAAAGTGCCTAAATGAAACATAGAAATTGGAGTTAAAGGGTTAAAATGGAACAAGGTTGAGTTGGAGTGCCAAAATGAAATTTAAGGACAAGTTTAAGGGTCTCCATATGTGTTTGACCGAAAATAATCAAAAGCATTGATGGCAAATTTAGATATCATTCATGTCATGTGGCCAAGCTTCATAGAACATATAGATAACTTCATCTATAAGCTTACTTAAGTCATAAACATTGCTTTCATAAAAAAAAACATGCATATCTTCATAAATTCATATTTCATAGTTCATAAGCTTCATCATGTGTTGATAGTCAAAATGAATGGATCATGCATTGGTTCATATGGATTCAACTCAAAATCATGTGAATTTTTCAATTCATGTATAAGAAGATAGAAAACAATCAATTGAATCATAATTGAAAAGAACTCATGAACATTGAATAAAACCCTAACTTTGAATTGAGAATCTAACTTGTAAAATTGGAACATCTTTGAGGAACCTATGGAGGAAAAGAACTCCATAGGTGAATACTAACATACCTTAGTGATCAAGGCCCAATAGCTATGGTGAATTGAGAATCTTGAAGTGAAACCCTAGTTTTTTTCTTCCTTAGCTTTTGAGAGTATTTTGGGATGAACTTGGAGGGAATTTTGGGAATTAGGTGAACGACATAGTTTAGGTACCAAACAGATAGGGGAAAGACCAAAATGACCCCAAACTTAAAAACTGACGGGTGACCTATATGGATCCCTAAATGGTCCGTTTAGGTCACCAAAGACCGTATAGGGATCTGTCCGGGAGACCCTCAGGTCCTGACAGCCTTTTAACGGTTGGTCTACTTCCCTTAAAATGGCTAGTGATGCCCTACACAGACTGTTTAGGGTTCCAGGTCCATTTTGGGTTTGAGGACTTGCATGTTAACCTCCCTTACCTTCTCCAAAGTCCAAGGTGTTACACTATAAAACTTATCTTTAAGTTTTTGTGGTACCTTCTTAGCACACAAGACTCCGGATGCAAGCCTCTATTTCATCCGCGTTGCACCAATATAATGTGTGATATCATCGTCGATGTCTCCACGTTCCTGGATTATAGACTCAAGATGCTTGAAACTATCTTTCTTGGTGATAGCCTGAGTATCAAGCCTCACTTACCCTCTTGCATTGCTTCATTGAATTTGCACTTCAAATACTTTGGTTTGGTCTTGCTTAACCTGCACCCTTTAGACTCCAAAATTTGTCTCCACACCTCAAACCTAGCATTAACTCCATTGAACATCTCATCAATCAACATTATGACATCTGCAAATAACATACACTAAGGCACCTCATCTTGAATGGACCGCATCAATTCATCTATCACCAAGGCAAATAGGAACGGGCTAAGAGCTGATCCTTGGTTCAACCCCACCTCTACTGGAAAGTGCCCCGAGTCTCCTCCCACCATTCTAACTCGCGTTTTAGCTCTTATACATGTCCTTTATCGCCCTAATGTAAGCCACCGGTACCCTTTTAGCCTCTAGGCATCTCCAGAGCATTCCCCTCGGGACTTGTCCTAGGCCTTTTCAAGGTCGATGAACACCATATATATGTAGGTCTCTCTTCCTTTCTCTGTATTTTTCCACCCATCTCCTTACAAGATTGATGGCTTCTGTAGTGGATCCCCCGGCATGAATCCAAGCTGGTTCTCGAAAATAGACACACCCCGCCTACTCTCAACTCCACCACTCTCTCTTAAATTTTCAAAGTGTGGCTTGACAACTTGATACCCCTATAGTTTTTACACTTTTGGATATCACCCTGTTCTTATACAATGGAACCATTGTACACCACCTCTATGCTTATGGCATTTTACCTGTCTTAAAAATGACATTAAACAAATCAGTTAACCACTCCACACCTACCCTATCTATGCTCTTCCAAAGCTCCATCGGGATCTCATCTGGTCTGGTTGCTCTTCCCCTGCTCATCTTCATAATAGGGCTTTTAACCTCCTCAACTGTAATCCATCTACAGTACCCAAAATCCCAATGTCTCTCAGGGAGCTCCGAATCACCTTTAGTATGTTCGTAATTATATGTTGGGTCTCCACTTCTAAGATCTCAAGGGTGGATGAAGTGACACCTTAATCATCAACATTGCAGGGAGAAAAAAAATGTTTAAGTAGAGTATATTGTAGAAAAGCAAATTCAGGCTCCAGCAAGCATGTATAAGCTCAAGGAAGGCGTCATAGTTTAAATTAAAAGTGCGGTTTTGGGTGGCAGTGGTTTTAGTGCACTTACCTGAGCATGTTAATCTCATGAAATGTTGTTTACTCAATTGTAGTTTATTATCCTAACATAAAGGATACATTTCCTTTTAGCCCCACGTCTTGAAATCATAATTTGGCCTCTCTAACCTGTGTATAGTTAAATACCTACAGAAGCTTTGCCTTGATTTTCTTCTTGATGTCTAAAGGTAGGTAGCCAAGAAATTTTCTGAAGTAGTGTTCCTCATCATAATACACTCTTGGCATTTTATCATTCTCCAGCTCTGCGAAATTCTTGAAGCGGGCAGAACTGTTTTCTATAAATTGTGGATGTCAGGTTGTTGGTCCACCTGAAGTCTTATTGACATTGAATATTCCGGATCAATGTATTCCGGTTTCAAACTTGTGAAGCATCTTTCGCTTGTCTACATACAGTTGTCTGATCTTTGTAGATATATAAAATTGTTAGCTATGCAAAATAGGAAAATTTTCCCTTCTCTCATAGGATTAAACTCAATTAACATAGAAGAGAAATAAACAAAGGGAAAAAAACTAAAGAGGGGAGGGGAAACTAAAGAGGCGAGGGGATAATACAGCAGTTTTCTGCAGTAACTAAGCATAATAGTTTGCAATTCAGACTGATGCCTAGAAGTTTATCACCTTAACAGCACCATCCCATTAAATTGTGCTAAGCATCCAAATTGTAGGAATGGGATTGTTAAAAGTGCAAAGCCTGAACCTTCCATTTCTGCATCAATTACTTGCCTTAGAAGCATTTTTTTACCTAGAGAAGATATTTACGATGCGTAGAAACAGTTTGCACTATGCTAAAATGGGGGTACTTATTTAACCTTCACTAGCTGTTCACTCTGATCAACTCATGCAGCATGTTTTAAAGGGGTGGTTTATCTTTCGTTACTCCTTCGATCCTGTAATTCTGTATTAGTAGCTCATCCAGTGTCTTCAATAAGTTGGCTTGTGTTTAATCTGACTGTCATTTTGCATATTTGTTTACTCGCACCCTATTTGTTTTTTTCTGGTTCCTAAGTAGAGACTTATTTGTGAAATAGGTGGGGTTGTCCTCCTAGCAAATTCCCATGGACATACTCTGCCAAAGAGACATGTTACTTGCTGAAGGGAAAGGTGAAGGTTTACCCTGATGGTTCTAATCAGGCTGTTGAGATAGGCGCAGGCGACTTGGTTGAGTTCCCCAAAGGAATGAGCTGCACTTGGGATGTTTCTGAAGAAGTGGACAAGCATTACAAATTTGAGTAAATGGGTTCAATCACCAGAGCCTTCTTATGTATTGGAATTTTCTTCCTTCACCAGATTAGTGTAACGCTGCTGTGATTTCTACATTTCACTGTTAAGAGTTTGGATATGGTTGAGGTTTATGTACTAATTGGCTGTATGCCTTAATGAGATAAATTTTGGCTATTAGCTAACCTCTTTACCATCTTTTCATTCCATAATATATATATATTGCACCAGCACACACCTGCGCGCATACACTTCACACGAGCCTCAAACGAGGCCACCAGTGTAGTCCTCCACTAACTGTCATGGCGCACGGAGCTTTAGTGAGGCTCTAAGTCCGTGACATTACGCTCACCAGAAAATATCAAGACATAATGAAGTAGTTCTCCTAGCTCAGTAATTTACTTTTGCTAATCTTTACCTCTTTTTCTGTTACTTCCACCTATCTTTGAACTACTATATTAACATTAACTTGGATATGTAATAAAGTAAGACCTGGTAAATTTTGCATGGTCAAGTTGGCAAGAAGCATCATCACTCGGTAGTAGAAAGCAGATGTCTTAACAAATGCAAATTATTTATCTAACGACAATACTGACTTCTTCTATCCTCATGATTAAGGGTACTATAATTTTTTATTTGTTTTTTAAAATTTATGATGATGTCATTAATTTAAGAACATTAGTTCGTTTAATTTTATCATTTGTTTTGTTGTTTAAACATATTAGGATTGACAAGTATTATATCATTATATCATATCATCATATCTTACTAAAAGTGGGAACAAAAAAAGTTAAAAGTTGAAATACCATTTCACTCCTACATTAAATTAAAATATTATAAATATTTAGTTAATTACATGTTTAAATATTAATGATAATCAATTACTACATTGAGTAAATGGAGAGTTAATGTGCTCAAGGGAGGATTGTTTACTCTTCCAAATTTTAATGGAGGTTCATTGTATATATTCCTAAAGTTCATTACATATATTTAATACTAGTTAAGCAAACCGTGCTTCGCGCGGTCATATTTTTCTATATATATATATATGAAAATGAAAAAATCAAACAGAAAATAACAATAAAAGAAAAAAAAATAGAATTAAATTCGTTTCAAGAAAATAAGAAGAGAATTATAATTTTTCCTTGGAACAATACAAAGACATATTTCTTTATGCGCCAATTTTATATACGTTGCTATCTCATTTTTGGGTGTTTTAAATTATTTATGTTATTTCACTAATAATTTCCTTTATATAATACTATTTACATTTATATATTTATATAACTATATAAATTTAGAGTTCATGTAAGTTTTCTTGCTTATAATTTAAATTTTTCACAATTATTACTTTAAAATATGAGCATATTAATTTGTTTAATTGATAAAATTAATAGCCTAACCTTTTTGTTATATATCTACACAAACTTTTATATGAAAGTCATAAAAATTAATATTTTGTTAAAACTTACATTAAAAAATAGAAATAATAAATACACAAGAGAGCTCAAATATCAATTTTGTATAGAAACTGAATAAATTATGTAATCCAAACACTACATAAAGATGAAGAAGTTAAAAGCGATTATCAATGATTTCATATATCAATATGTGGATGAGTTTTGATTTTCAATAAAGAATATGAAAAATTTTGTAATGACCCAGAAGGTCATTTTTGGAAATTTTGAATATTCATTTAACTAGAGTAAATTAATTGACGGTTAATTATTAAATAACTAATTTTAGTTAATAATTATGGGTTAAGTTTATAATTCTTTTTAATACCATTACCACTTGACCCTTGTAGAAAAATAAATTATTAGGGTTGAGAGTTTTTGGTTCATAACTTAAGAAAAGAAATGGAGACTTACCTGCGTATAGCGGCGACTGGCGCGGAAACCATCCACTGCACTTCACGATCAGGTAACATTCATAAATTCATTAATTATGCAATTGAAAATGTGTATTGAGGTCAAATGTAGTTATAAGTATTATTATCATTATAATAATGTGTGAGAAAGAGTAAGAAGGGAATCAAATTGCAAACTTGATTAATTATATGTATATTTATAAGTTACAGTGGATTAGAATTGGATTTCGTGCAATCATGTGATCATTACGGCCAAATGTCATTTATGTAATCATAATAACTGTTAGTATTACTTTATATTGGCTTTGAAGAGGAAAAAAGGGATATGGAATAAAAAAATTGGTATATATCTGTATAAAGTAATTTTGGAATTGAGAAACGATGGTAATTGGCTAATGATAGGAAAATGGTGAATACTAGGAATAATGATTCAATGGTTACAGTTGATTCAGGAGTTAGCGAACCAGTTTTGATATTTTCCAGATTTTTGTTTTTCCATAATTATCACATTATAAACTATATTTTTGACATATTGAAATAGGTAATTAAATATTAGGGGTATTGTATTTTGTGAATATCCTTAGATTTATGATATTGGAGAAGTTGGGACTTAACCCTAGGCATCAAATTTGGAGAAAATTGAAAGAGTTTGACATGTTAACTGGCATCGAGATTTAAGAACTTGATTATAGATTTGGGATGAGTTTTTGGGTCTAGGTTAGACCTATAGTAGCATGGGTGTTGTTAGTTTAGAAATCTTATTGTGGTTAATTATTTGACTAGATTGCTTTGAGTTGGAAGTTCAACAAAAAGGGAAGGCTCAAGTCCCGGAGTGGTTGTTCGATTATTTGAGGCAAGTGGATTTCTAAACCCTTGTTAAGTGTATGGAATTCATGTATTTCCTTGTAATATGTGTTTAGGGTAATGAGGCTTGGTGATGGGTTGACTTGTCCACATTGATTAATTCTAATGATGAGAAAGGGATAATAAAAGGCAATGTGATCAATTGTTTGTGTGATGTGTTGAGAATTGTTTGAAAGGCTTGTTGAATCATTGTTGATGTTGTATCCTGATTGTGTTGTTGTGAATTGTGCAATGTTATGAAAATGGTCATCTCTTCATTATTTGTGTGAACATGTCATTTGCATTGTTCTGAGACATGGTTGTGACAAGTGTTATGTGGATTGAGAAAGAATAAGAAAATAAAGAGGATGTACCATTTCGAGGGACTTATCGCGCGCCGCGATGGATACTATATTTCGAGCGACGTGTTGCGCGCCGCGACGGATACTATATTTCGAGGGACGTATCGTGCGCCGCGATGGTTACTATTATCGAGGGTCGTATCGCGTGCCGCGATGGATGCATGGACAGATATGTCCCTCATGGGTCCCGGACTGAGAGACAGCGGGTGTGTATCATTAGGTCAGACATGCATCACTATACTTGACATTGCATTTCATTGCATTGCACTTCTTTATTATTGGTGAACTTGATCTTGTGTGTTGCTGATCTTGCGAGTGCTTTTCTATGAAACTTGTGACTGATGAATATTGGGCTTATTGTTGAAGATATGCAATTGTTAGAGTGTTGTTGTTGAGGATATGAAACTATTATTGTTGTTGAGGATATGAAATTGTTAAAGTGTTGTGTTGAGCTATGTGCTTTGTAAACTGTGAACTGTTATGTTGGGCTGGTACTAAGCTGGTTGTAGTTGTGGAGGTGGTAATTGATAAATATTGAGCTTGTTGTTGAGAATATATAATTGTTAGAATGTTGTTGTTGAGATATGTGCTTGTAAATTGTGAACTGTTAGGTTGGGCTAATTTTTATACAAATTGTAGTAGTGAAGGTTCGGTTGGGGTGTAAGGAGTACTTGTATTCTATTCCCTTAGCTCGTGTTTAGAGGTTTACTTGCTGAGTACCGTGTCGTTTGGTACTTACCCCTTGCTTCTACAAATTTTTGTAGGTTACGAGCCTGGATTTTTGTGGTACTTGTCATTCTCTTCTTTTCCAAGGCTTCTGGGAGATTCGTGAGGTAGTTGTTTGTCTTCTCAACGATCTTTCTTACTCCTGTTTATGATCTTGTTCTACTCTAGAAACAATGTCATATGAGACTTGTATTTTTCTTTTGATTCAATTGTAATACTTTAGAGGCTCGTACACGTGACAACCAGATTTTGGGTCTATATTTGAGTTTATTATATAAAAAAATCCACATTTTATTGTAATGGTTGAGTTTTAGGCTGACTTGTCTTGGTGAGGTAAGACGAGTGTCATCACGTCCATTTTTGGGTCGTGACAAATTTGGACAATAAACGATAATAATTGTGACTTTTATTCTTATAAACTAATAAAATAATTAAGAAAATAGGGAAAAAATTATCTTTTTTCGCTAATGCAATATTTTTTTACTGTCAACTTTAATCATGGGTTCATCATGAAACGTAATAAATATAAATGAATGTTAGAATTGTTTTTGGAGAGTTACGCATTTCCATTTTTAAAATTTACTTAGTGAGTAATTATCTTATTCTTTAATTGACTAATTCTGTAAATATTTTTCAGATTATTAAATCTGAAAATTAGATAAAAAGAGAAATCTCATAATTAGGAGTTAAAGGGATGGTTTAATTTTTTTCAAGCTATTTGAAATGATATTTCATTAGACTACTCTATTTTAATAAATTTTCATTCGTTAAGGAGAAAATGAAAGATTTGAGTGATAAATAGTTTTGCCTTTAAATTTACAATAAATAATAGGAATAAGTGGAGTAATAAAATTTGAGGTATTTAAATTCTTTTACTAAATAATAGAAATTAATGAAGGGAATAGTAATTGACACACTTTTTAATAGTAATAATAAATAGAAATATAGTGAAAATCACAACAATAAAAAAGTAAAAATAAATAAATAAGGATCGTTGGCTTTGAGAGGTGTCAAATCATTTTTTTAAAAATATTTTAGCTTTATAATATATATATATATATATATAGAGAGAGAGAGAGAGAGAGAGAGAGATACATATAAATTTTTCATTCCTCTTGGAGAATGAAAGGTTGGAGTTAAATACTTAGGCCTTTAAATTTACAATAAAGAATAGAAATAAGTAGAATAATAAATTTTGAGACATTTAAGTTTTTACAATGTATAATAGAAATAAATGGAGAGAGTAATAATTGACACTTTTTAATAATAATAATAATAATAATAAATTAAAATATAGTGAAATTTATCAAAAAAAAAATAGGATCTTTGTCTTTTTTCTTTTTTTTTTGAAAACGAAAGTATTTCATATAGTTTCTTTAGTTTT